TGATTAGAGCAGTAACTCAACAGATAATTTTAAAACTGCTCTGGCAAGAAAAAGCAGTATAAACATTTTTTTGTAAAGTGGTGGTAACTACCAGAAGAATACAAGTTTCTGCACAATGATGTTGAAAAACGCTGTAATTTTTTATTTTCCTTAAAGAGAGGCCCCATGCCTCCCCTTAAATGTTTAAGAAGATAAAACAAGAAAAAAGGCTTTCGATAATTATTTTAAAGATAGATCCCATTGGCTGCTCTAAGAAGAATGAATTACAGAAGGGTAATTGTCAATAACTTTACCTTGCCTTTTGCCACTAGAGAAAATAATACATAATAGCCCTGTGGTAAGTTTTTAGGGACCGTTTCCCAAGAGAGAGTATTAAAGACATAAAGCAGCACCCTACACATTGTATAAACTAGCACATGGAGTCAGCATGATAACCTGGTTTTACCTGCTTACTTAAGATTAAAAAAAAAAGCAGCTTCCCATACCGATGTAGGTCACTGTACAGGAAAAGTCACTGAGCAAAGCCTGATATGGCACATGCCCAAGTTCTAGGAAGGCCCCAGGATGACAAGATTCCACACTGACCAAAGATTTGGAGCAGAGGGACAGCCCTGGGTCCACAGTAAGACAACGAGCAAATTCCAACAGCCCCAAGACTTCCCCTAGTCACTCTGCAGGCCGAACAGAGAGGCCCTACCTACTGTGGTCACAGGGGAGGTCACAGGGGAGGGCTGGGACGGAGCCTAGGAAGCTGGCCTAGACCAGGCACTTTGAGAATCAGAAAGCCCTGATCAAAATTAGGATGTAGACAATGTATAGAGACAGGTTGGGTTGCATACCCAAGTGAGGAGCATGAGAATCTCTTAGAGTGGGAGGACTTCTATCTCTTCTGGAACAGGTTCTATCTCACCTGTGCATGCCCACATCTGGAAGACATTGATTCTGTCAAAGACTGGGATTTTTCCTCTACTGTGTCCTAGTTGCTTCCCTGGAGTTCTGGAATCCACATCCATGGTCACTCTTATTCTGGCAAGGTAGTATTTACATTAACATGATAAATTACACAGCACTGCTTAACCATGCAGGCACAAATTGGGTATGTGTAAGGAAGGGTGGGAAAGAAACAATACACCTATGTGCTTCACATCGGGCAAACTCAGTTAGGGGTCATTATTTTTATTTTTTTTAATGTGTTATTTATTTTTGAGAGAGAAAGAGCACACACAATTGGGGGAAGGGCAGCAGAGAGAAGGGAACAGAGGATCAAAAGTAGGCTCTGTGCTGACAATAGCAAACCTGACGTGGGGCTCGAACTCACGAACCGTGAAATTATGACCTGAGCCTAAGTCGGCGCTCAGTCAACTGAGCCGCCCAGGCGCCCCATGGGACGATCCCAATTTTAAAGAGCACTGAGTAGGGGCGCCTGGGTGACTCAGTGGGTTCAGTTCCGACTGCTGTCTCTCCCTGTCTCTGCCCCTCACCGCTTATGTTCCCTCCTCTTTCTCAAAATAAATAAACTTTTAAAAATGTTTTAAAAATATTAATAAAGAACACTGAGTATTCTCTTTCAAACAGATCCACGGAAAGTATTTCCATGGGACATTTGAATAAGATTATGTACAAAGTGTGTACTGACTCCTACCTTTTCTGGAACACCTACTTAATTTGACCACAGGCCTTTCCACTTCTATGGAACATTTCTCTCTCGGGCGTGTGACAGCCCTTTCCTGGTTGTATCCCTACATGTCTGTCTTTATTTCTCTGTCCTCTCTCCTCTCCTGCCTAAACAAAGGTATTATTCAAGAGTGCTTCCTTGGGAACTTCCTATCTTTTCATTCTTTCTTCTTGAGTGACTGTCAACCACTGCCTTTAATTGTCACCTCTGTGCTGACAGTAATAACAGCTGACAATCGCAGGGACTCACCACCCACCGGGCTAATCTCTGTACTAAACTCTGATGGGGTAGACGTGGTTAATATCCCATTTTCATGGAAATGAGGAAGAAGCACTGAAGCTTGGTGGTGGGGTGGGAGGAGGGAGGTTAAAGTAACCTGCCACCTAAAGTCACACAGCTAGTCAGGAGCGCAACAGGGATTCAGCCCCAGCCAGTCCACCTCACAGCCTCCACTGGTAACCAATGCCTTTCGGTATTTCATGCTGTTCTCTGTACTCTCTCACCCAGACAGCTCACAGGGGCCAGGGCCATCTCCTTCATACCAGCCCCTGAGACCTAGAATGCTGACCACCAGTCTACTACCATAGCACCCTGAATGTGCCCAGTGCCCTCAGCATGTTGACCACCAGACATCAGAGAGCACTCACTGCCATGTTTGCCCTGGTTACTGAAACAGAATACTTCCAAACCCTGCTGCCTCGTACCCTGTCCCCTTACCAGGACCCTCCCCCTTTCAAGACCTCCCATGCCCACTAATCCTGGCCTGGTGCTGGCGGGTGGGTGGGGGCAAGGGCTGGGTTGGAGATTTCAGGGTGCTGCTGGCCTTGGTCCTTGCCATTGCTACCCCTGTGGTTAAATATTGTTAATATCGGCTCTTCCTCTTCCTCCTCTTCCTCCCTCTCTCCCCACAAACCAGTTCCGCCTCCTGACTTCCTTATTTCTGGGCCCCCATCTCATTCTCCAGTTCCTATTACATGGAGCCTCCCCTGAGCCCCTGCACCCCCTCCTCTACTGCTCACCTTCAATTGGTTGCTTTGCCCTGTGGCTTTGACCTCTACTACCCCCTACTCCTCCTCCCTCATCTCCTCCTTTCTCTTCCCTATGGCGACCGCTCTGGAACAGACCCCCCGGGCCCAGTTTCCATGGCTCCTGCTAGACTCTTCTTAACCCCGCCCCTTCCTCCTCCACAAACTTGAGGCCAAAGCCTGCCCTCCCTACCTTGATTCCTCATGGGAATATACCTGCCAACCAAGGTGGTGACCTCACCTCTGCAAATGCCATCTCAATTAGAAATCCTTATACAGAAAAGGTATTTCATAAATATTTATTAAATTCAGTCAGATGACACCCACTTGTGCTTCCAAAGTTTTCAACCATATCTGATCACAACCTTCTTGTCCTTGAAACATGAAAGTTATTCCCCTCTCTGCTAACCACAGCCTTGCCTCCTCTATCCCGAGTGGGTGGAGGCATCACAGGAGGTCTCCAGCAGGTTCCTTTCTGCCCATTTGCTCCCAGGCCTGGCCAACAATCCCGTCTGCCTGATTCCCAAGCATTCACATGTAAGGCACCATGCAGTGCTGAGGGCTCAGCTGATGGTAACACCCCGCAACTACCCTCCGGAGGCTCATGACTAGAGCTGGAGGAGAAAGATAGTCACACGAAGGGTCAAATGATGACCCATCATCTACTTCTGGCTCTACAAAGGACCCACGCAGACAGCAGTGCTGGGACAATCTCGCTGGGCCCCAGCCTCACCGAGGATTCACAGAACTTTGGGTCCGCGCAGAGTCCTGCCCCACTGTTTAACAGCTCTAGCAGCTCGGGATTGTTGCTTAACAGTCTGCCACTCAGTTCTCATCTGTAAAATGAGATAGTAAGCAAGCTGCCTCAGAGGGTAGTTGTGAGGCTGAAATGAGTAGTGTGTGTAAGCATTTAGAACAGGTGTGCAGTCTGCTAGGAATTTACCCAAGGGATACAGAAATGCTGAGGCATAGGAGCACATGGACCCCAATGTTCATAGCAGCACTCTCCACAATAGCTAAAACATGGAAAGAGCCTAAGTGTCCATCAACAGATGAATGGATCAAGCAGATGTGGTTTATCTATACCATGGAATACTACATGGCAATGAGAAACAATGAAATCTGGCCATGTGTCGCAACATGGATGGACCTTGAGGGTGTTATGCTGAGCGAAATAAGTCAGGCAGAGAAGGACAAATATCATATGTGTGCACGTATAGGAGGATTAGGAGGAACTTGACGGAGGACCAAGGGGGAGAAGAAGGGGGGAAATGGTGGGGGAAAGGGAGAGAGGCAAACCATGAGAGACTCTTGAATGCTGACAAAAACTGAGGACTGATGGATGTGGGGGGGAGGGGGGGATGGGCATGGAGGAGGGCACTTGTGGGGATGAGCACTGAGTGTTATGTGGAAACTAATTTGACAATAAACTATTTGTAAAAAAATAAAATAAATAAATAAATAAATAAAATAAAATAAAATAAAAAAATAAGGATAAAAGTCACCATAAAAAAAAAAAAAAGAACAGGTGTGCAGTCACCGAGTGTGCACAGTAATGTCAGCTATTATTGTTTCCATCATTTGACGTAAAGTATACAGAAAATTGGAGGGGAAAGATACCTTTGCAAAATATCTCTCAGGATCTCAGATACCTTCCGAAAGTAGAAGGCCAGAGGAAGGGAAGAAGTATAAACAGAAGATTCTTTCCCCGCTGACCTTTACGCAGCCCAGACCTCATTTCTGCCCTTGGCCCCAACCACTCCTGCAGGTAAGCATCGGTGGCTTGGACCGGTCTGAGGACGGAGGCTGCGGCTCTCACGCCGCCACAGGCCCCTTCCGCTGCACAGATGCGCTTACTCAGTCAGCAACGATTTGCACCCACCCTGCATCAGCCTCGTGTAAGGGGCACTGGCCCCACTGGCCCCAAAGTCGGCTCAGTAGCTGTCCCAAGATGCTCATGAGCTTGCAGTCTCCCCAGTTCAAACCCACATGCTGACAAATGTTACGAAGAAACAGAACGTGTGACGTGTGAACTAGTGATAGGGGCTATTGGGCACAATCAGGAAAGGCTTCCCTGAAGAGGTGACATTTAGACTGAGATCTGAAAACTGAGTGTCACAACGCGAGGAGGGGGAAGGCAGGTCTCTGGATTACTATTCCCCACAATGCGGGCCATGGGACGTGCAGGTGGGCGGCGCCCCAGGGGAACTTCAAAACCTTCAGGAATAGGGGGCGTCACAAAGCGGTATCCAAACTGGGTCCCTGAGGCCACAGGGCCAGGCTTCTCCGCCCAGCAGCCCACGACGAGAACAGGGGCTGGCCAGGCAGCCGGGAAGCCGACGCAGGCAAGCAGGATCCGAAGTAAGGAGTCTGGAGGTGTGCTGACTTCCCGCTCCCGCCTTAAAGGGATGAGGGCAGTTCCTCCGAAAGAGGGGTTACAGACCCCCTGAGGGGCCCCCGGGGAGTGCCAGGACTGGGGGAAGGGGTCTGGGAGGAGGAAGGGGGCCAGGCAGCCCTTGGACGCCGCCAGCAGCTCTGGGCTGGGGCTAAGACCTGGGGAGGGGGCTCCCGGAACAAGGCAAACTTCTGCGGGGCAAGGCTGGGACGCACCTGGAGAAGACGATCCCTGGGGGGTGCCTGCCGAGTCGGCCGGCAAAGCTCACCCAGGTCCCCCCAGACCCGCGCCTGGCGCAGCCTCGGGGGCACTAGCCCCTCTCCCGGGACACGCCGCCCCTCGCCTGGGTCTCGGGATCCTCGGCGGTGATACTGGGGACCCCGCGCCGCTGCCGCCCGGACGGCAGCGGCGCGGGGACGCGACCCGGGGACCCGAGGGCGCGCGGCGGGCTGGGGGCCGGGCAGGGAGGGAACACGGCAGCGGGAAGGTCCCCAAGCTGCGCGGACTTACCCAGAAGTTCGCCTTGAACAGTGCGCCCGTCATGGCCGGCGCGCGTAGCCAGGGCCCAGAGCAGAGCGGAGCGGCGGGTAGGTGCCAGGAGGCCGGAGGGTGACAGCAGGCGGCGGAGCAGCCCGGCCGGGGAGTCTCGGGGCCGCGGGGAGGTGCCCCGGGTCCTAAGCCACGCCCTGCTTCGCCGGCCCAGGGCACACCACTGCTCCGCCTAGGCCTCCTCCCCCTCCCCCTCGCGGGTCACTGGCGTTCAGCGCCCACGCGCGCACCCAGGGAAAGCCCCGCCGCGTCCCGCAACCCGCAATCAGGGAGCCGGGAATTGTCCCCTCATGCAGGAAGCCTTCGAGGATTGCAAGGAACTGGTCCTGCCGCCTTCCCAGTTCGGCTCCCTTCCCGCCTACGTGCTCCCTCCTCCCTCGACCGAATTCCTCGAGGAGAAATCCTGGCCCAGCAAGGTGCTGGATGGAGCCCCACCTGATCAGAGGGTGGTCTCGGGACCGGAGGTCAGGTCCGCAGTGCTCGAGGACTGACGATGCTAGTGGTCACGTGACGTGCAGACGCTTCAGGGAGTCCTGAGTACGAATCCAGATGCACCCGCTACAGATCAGCCCCTGAGCAGGTTTTAGTTTAAAAGTCAAGAAACACCATTAATACTGTCAGCCCTTGACTCTATGTCCCTTAGTGGAGCCTTTTAAAGGCCTGCAAGAGCTCAGCTCCTCTCCGACCTGCTCCCCATTCTCAAGACTCCAGACCCTTTTCCACCAAGCACACTCCAGCAGCAGCCAGAGCCTCCTTCCTCTCTATGCACTCTGCCTCCCTAAGGACACACCATAACCCCAGGAAAAGTCAGACTCATCCCTCCTTGGTAGTAATATGGTACTTTGGGACAAAGGACTGCTCCATACTACAGGCTCTGAGCCAAAACTGTGGCAGACAGAGGCTTGAACGTTTTGCCCAAGATCTCAGGGTATTAAACAGATGAAGAACCGGGTGGAGTTCTGTTGTGTTTTTTTTTTTTTTTCATTTTTTAAAATTATTTATTTATTTTTATATGAAGTTCTGCCCTTCCAAACAGGGCCAGGGCCAAAGACAGATGTCACTCCTGGAGCAAATCCACCCTGGGCAAAGAGTAGGTGCTCAAGGAGGAGAAGATGAAGGTCAAGGGTACCAAGACCGAGTGCTGATGGCCACCTGTAACCACAGGCCTGGAAAGGCAAGCATTTGCCTCTCTCGCAGGTTCTACCTCTGTCCAGACACAGTGAAAGGGCAATTCTGGGGCCATTTGAAGGACAGCTAAAAGGTTCTGCCTGGTAACCACCCGGGTCCCACTGTGATGAAATCCCACCAGCAGAGTTATCCACAACTAGGAAGATGAAGAGATGGCCTCCAGCCCGGGGTCACTCCAAGGCTACACAGCCATTCATCTGGTTGTTCATCTCTTTGGAAAGCAGTGAGGTCAGAAGGAAGGGGAGTCAGGCAGCACCATCGGGAGACAGGAGAGGCCTCCGTGGACACCAGGAGGAAGGCGAAACTGCAAGAGAGACAAGAAATAGCACCAGCTGGGGAGATGAAAGAGGCTGAAGAAAGACGGTACCAAGATGTTTCCCGGAAGTTTTTAATATTTTGGAGCACATACTTTATTTCTTATTATTTATTTTGAGAGAAAGAGTGGGGGAAAGCATGCAAGCAGGGGAGAGGGACACAGGGAGAGGGAGAATCATAAGCAGGCTCTACACTCAGCACCAAAGCCCACGCAGGGCTCTAGCCCATCACTGTGAGATCATGACCTGAGCCGAAATCAAGAGTTAGTCACTCGACTGACTGAGCCCCCTAGGCACCTCAGGGCAGATATTTTGGACACAATTCTATTTGTCTAAGTTTTAACTTTTAATGTATATATTTTTTTAAGTCTTCGAAAGTCTTCCAAACTTTGATGGTACATAATGCTGGATCCAAAGATCCCTGAATTTTAACTCTCTTCTACCACCTGGTGGCAGGATTGAAAATTGCAAATGCTTCTCCACAGAAAATTGAGGAAAATCGTGGATTGCCAGTGACTAGTTCTGCAAGTGTTTCACAAGAGAGCAAACATTTCTCAAAGATTTTAACTTGATAAATGAGCAATGTCTCCATATGAGTAATATGTGATGCCGAACCACATGATTATACTGAGCCAATAGTTCTCTCTCTATATATAGAATAGTGGGTATAGTCTTCCATGCTCGGATGCTTGCTCAGTCTCAGGCCGTGTGTTTGGCAAAAATCCGTTATTTTTCAGGATGTTGGAAAGTGCTCACAACTGGCACAACTGGCACTAGTGTATTTTTTGTCACTTCAAAGTACCTATGGACAGTCCTTGGCTTTTCCCAAGAGTAAGCTTAGGAATGCTTTGCTTCGTTCTAGGTCAGGCTGCATGCAGATATAGACCCTTTCCTCTGCTGTCTTACTGCCAATTACATTAAATACAGTATGTGACAAGAGTTTATTAATACTGTACTGTGGTCAACATCTGTGCAAGTGTATACAGTGGCCCCCATGCAGAAAAAGATTCCATGAAGCCAATAGATAGCAGTGATTCCTACACAATAACCCTTCTCTATCTTGTCTCCTTCACCCAGTCATGAAGGTTTTCAAAGATAAGTGCAGGTTAATTTGTCTTTATATTTTGATTTATTATTTTGTATTTATCACAGAATCATCTGTGTTTCCATTATTTCTTAATGGAAAATTTCTTAATGGGAAATTTGCTTTGATATACAAGTGCTTTGGAATACAATCATGTTTCTGGAATGAATTATGCTCACAAACCAAGGATTTACTCTATAACTCATTCATTCCTCACACTTATTAAAATCATCTCCTAGACAAGGTGTTGTGAGTAAAAAGACAAGTACTGTATAAGGGTCTAAAACCAACTGGAGAAATTTTGCTGACAAAGTTAAATTAACACTGCTACAGCAATTTTGAAATAATAAAATTAAATGATCAATACTTTAGAAAAGTAAATGACTCTTAAGATAACTGCTGGTAGGGATATAGAGATGCTGAGACATAGGAGCACATGTACCCCAATGTTCATAGCAGCACTCTCCACAATAGCCAAAACATGGAAAGAGCCTAAGTGTCCATCAACGGACGAATGGATCAAGAAGATGTGGTTTATCTATACCATGGAATACTGCATGGCAATGAGAAACAATGAAATCTGGCCATGTGTAGCAGCATGGATGGACCTTGAGGGTGTTATGCTGAGCGAAATAAGTCAGGCAGAGAAGGTATGTTTGCACGTATAGGAGGATTAGGAGGAACTTAACGGAGGACAATGGGGGAGAAGAAGGGGGGAAATAGTGGGGGAAAGCGGGAGAGGCAAACCATGAGAGACTCTTGAATGCTAACAAAAACTGAGGACTGATGGGTGTGGGGGGGGAGGGGGGATGGGCATGGAGGAGGGCACTTGTGGGGATGAGCACTGGGTGTTATATGGAAACCAACTTGACAAACTATTTGTAAAAAAAAAAAAGATAACTGCTGGTAATTTTTTGGCATAATTTCTTCCAATAATACACATTTGTTGTACATAAAATTTTGAATCTTGATTTTTAACTTCACATTTCAGAAGTACTTTCTAAAGTCATTAAATGCACTTTTCCTAACAAAAAGTTTGATAGTACAGAGTAGTGGCCAAATAGACACTCTTGCATGTAAAACTTGAAAATCCCTATATAGAGAAATTTGGTCATGTCACCAAAATTTAAAATGCACTTATATTTTGGAGCACCTGGGTGGTTCTCTCTCAAAAAAATAAAAAAAATTTTAAAAATAAAAATAAAAAAGCTTTTAAAAGACAAAAAACAAGGGCACCTGAGTGACTCAGTTGATTAGGCATCTGACTTCTCTGGTCATGATCCCAGTTTTTGCATTCAAGCCCCACATCAGGCTTTGAGCTGTCAGCACAGAGCCTGCAGCTTGCCTTCTGTGTCTACTTCTCTCTGCCCCTCCCTAGCTCCCTCTCTCTCTCAAAAATAAACATTGAAAAAATTAAAACAAAACACTGCTTTCTTTGCATCTCTCCTCTCCTCACAAAGCTACCAAGTTTCCCTATTGCCCATTGGAATGAAGTCCCAAACACCCCTGCCTGACTTTCAAGAACTTCCTGGCTCTGGCTCTGTGCTGACCTTTCTGATCTCCTCGCGCAGCTTCCTGCCCTCCCCCAGCGCTAGCCCATCAGGCTCTTCCCAGTCTTGTCACACCATCTTTGCTCACACTTTACCAGCCACCTGGGCTACTCTTCCTCCTGCTAAAATTCCACCTCATCACCACTTGCCCAACTTCTCCAGCCCTTGTTGTCTTCTCACTTCTCGAATCTCTGGAACTTGTCACCCATATCACACACACAAGCCCCTAATAATGTATTACTTATGTCCTTATGTTCTGTAATTTCTTATATCCTTATGTTCCTCTTGGATATCTTACCTCCCCAAGAAGATTGCAAAGCACTGCAAGGTAAGACTGACATTCTCTTGGGCGTCCGGGTGGCTCAGTCAGTTAAGCATCTGACTTCAGCTCTGGTCATGATCTCATGGTTTGTGAATTCGAGTCTCACATCGGGTGAGCTCAAGCCCTGCTTCAGGTGAGCTTCGGTTTCTCTCTCTCTCTCTCTTTCTCTGCCCCCCACTTACTTGCACCCTCTCTCTCTCAAAAAGAAAAGAAAAGGAGGGAAAAAAAGACTGATATTCTCTCATATACGCTCGTGGATTAGACAATGATGGACCCAGCTAGGGAGTTCAGTGAACTCTCTCTGATCATCAATAGCGCTACCAATTTTTCTTTCAGTCCCCATAGTCTGCTCCCTCCATTCCAGGAAGCAGGGGCAAACTTGGTGGGAGTACTGGCCAGGTAGCTAAAGCCAGATGGGATCCCTGGACCAGAACCTGACCAAGCAGAAGCCACGGTATGAAAGCCCCAGAGGGCAGGAGAAGGCTGTTTCATTGGGTCTGCCAAGTCAATGTCAAAATAAGTGGCTAGATTTTTGTCACTTAGTTGGAAGCTGAGTAGATTGAGGAATGGAGGAGAAAGTCAGGACAGGACAGGAATAGAATACAAGGGACAAACATCAAAGAGGAGCCTGAAGTGGCCAAGGGTTAGTCACGTGGTGGGTGAGGAGCTCTGGCCTGCATCAAAGCAAGGGCTGGGTGGATACCATCAAGATTTGAATTTTCATAAGTTAATGTGAGGTAAGGGACTCAAAGGGTCTGTTCCTGGTAAAGGAACAAAGGAGTATAAAGATGGGGAAATTTTTGGTATCCTATTGTCACAGAAGACAACCAACTGCACGTAGGGGCTTGTGTTTCCATCAAAAGCCACCATGAGAGAGTGAAAGGCAAGCCACAGAATAGAACAAATTTATAGTACATTTGTCCAAAAAGGATTCATATCCATTATTTATATAAGGAACTTATAAAACTCAAAAGAAACAAACAAAACCAGACAACATGATTCTTAAAAAAACCCAAAGAACCGTAGGACTGTTTCTAGGGCTGGGGCCGAAAATGTACAAGCCTAGAGCATCCTGTTGTGTCAGAAAGTACAGCAAGACAACAAATACACAAAATAATTAGGGGCATACCAAGGAATACGGGAGCCAACTGAAAGCTCTCAATTTGAACAACAAGAGAAATACTGGATTATAACCCAAAATATGAAACTAACCATGAGTCCATACTGATGTAAGTAGATTGACTGAATACCTAAAGAAATGTAGAAATACAGATCTTTTGGGCAAAATTCCAAATACTCTGTGTAGACAGTCAACTTTGAAGGGAGTGGAGCAGAACTCAACAACTGATCATCACTGAGAATTCCAAATGCTTCAGTGGTCTTCAAAGCCCTCCATTAACATGGTTCACAACCCAGCCATATATACCATATGCTACAAGGAGGTTAAGTCACTATTCCCAAAATAAACTGCTTCCCCATTTTTATTTTCT